AACTTTTTGCTGGTCAACAGCCAAGTGAAATTTGTAAGCTGGAAAATGATACTGTGGGAAAAGGTGTGCTTAGTGACCAAGCAAGAGAAAAAGGAATGGAGTAAGGAACCAGTTAATTATAAACCAAAAGGCACCTTTGTTTCTTCTGTTTATGTCTTGCAATTCCTAACCACACCAAGCATAGTTCTGTGTAGTGCTGAGTTACTAATCTGCATGGATCATGTTGCAATGTTGGAGGTGTCATGGAAACTGGCTGGAGCAAAGCTGGCTTATAAAGCACATACAAGACAGCCCAGGCAGTCTCTCTTATTTAAGTATCTGCCTTCTAAGTCTTTTTTTTTTTTTTTTTTTAAAAAACAAGGTGATGACCAGTTTGCTTTTTCAGATATAACTTGCTTAATTTTATTTGAAAAACACTGTGCTCTGCTGCCATTTTGAATGATGGCTATATCAAGCATTACGTTATTAATTATTTGCTTTGATTATTCACATCATCTAACCCAACAGCAGTCAAGAGATTCTTTTGCCACTTGGCTGTACACCTCTCAGTACATTAGTTTGCCTGCCAAAACTAATATTTCTTTGATTTTGTTTTTGAGAAAGGTTGTGAAAGGAGAAAGAAACCCTGTATGTTTACTACAGGGGAGCATTTTTGTTTGCATACAATAGCTCTTCTAATGTTTTCTGAAAGGAAGTGTTTTTCCTTTGAGATATCACTCTGGAAGAGGTTAATTTTATCTTGGAAAAATGCAGGTTAGGTAAGATGTAGCAAGAATGTATCATTAAAAATGAGGTTGTTTTCAAGAGCTGTTTTGCTAAAATTCATTAGGAAGAGGTATGCTGTTCTATACCTCATAGTATGTGTAAAGAGAATTTACTCTTACTCTGTGGCTGCTTTTACGAAGTTGACCCTGGTCAAGCAGGTAATTTTTAAAAGAGTCAGGAAAAAAGCAAACTGTACATGGCATCCTTCAAATTGACATGACAGGGTAAGGGGACTAGAAATAGAGTGAAGGGTGGCACTGGCAGCCCTACATTGACAAGCTAAGAGTCACTGCATGAAGTTGGGGATGAGATTGCTAGGGTGCAGAAATCAGAACAGCTTCCTACAGACCTGCCCTTCAGTTATAGGTTGCCTTTTCCATCCATTGATCTGAGGATGTCATCTTACCTTTCAAATAAATTTTGTCTACTTTCATTCATTTCACTGACAAGGCTCTTATTTCAAAACATGGTTGTATTTCTTTGTTGAAAATGTCATTTATGAATGAGTAGGATTTTCATATTTGCACAATTCAGGAACCTAAAGTGTGTCATTTTTCCTGGCAGGCTATAGAAATCCATCAAGCCCTAGTATTTGGAACCAAAGAGTTAATGTGGCACTACTGGAAGATAGTTAAGCTGTGACTATGATCTATCTAGAGAAACTAAGACATTTGGGGCCAGGATGTGGAAATTTATTTGATGAAATTATATTTTATCTGGAAAGAAATATGTAGAATTTATACTTAAGATTATCCTACCCCACTGTTACTGATGGTAACTTCAAGTTACTTATTACACTATTTTCTCTTAGGTGTGCATTTTTAACTCTCTAGAACTTCTGTAATGCCAGAGTTCCACAGGAAGTTTGCAGCTATGCCTCATCCTGAATTCAAATTAGAGGAGTTGGCATGGGCAAGGTTTATAGATCTTACCAAAAAAGTGACCACAAATCATCTATTTCCAAACCTGAAAGCCAGTGCTGAGGCATTCAGAGGTTCTACTGCTGTAGCTCATAAATTGCAAACCATGGCATGTGAACCATGCTGTTTGTAAGAGCTGGAGTAGAGCATGCATGGTCCACTGAACACGTTTTATAGATCCTGGACTTCAGATCTTTTTTGGCACTAGACTGCAAAAGAGTTTCAGCAAAACCCTCTTTTACTCAACCGGTATGGAAGTTATTGCATTTGTGGTGTTTTTGGAGAAACAGGAGCTCTTGCATTTTATTGCAAGGTGCAAGATTCCAAACTTTAGAATAACAAGGTATTGAGTGCAAGTTCCCCTTTTTGTTTCATGAAATTGAACAGTCTGTTCCTGTAATTGTTTTGATTCATATCTGATTCATCCAACTGTGATACAGGATACTGAAGAGCAGATTAAGTTCAACACCTAACAAAATAATTTAGTTGTATAAGGTGGAAATTATCTGAATTTCAAATCATAGGCTTAGTCTGATTTGCAATATAGGGCTGATTTTGGATTGTTGTGAGAGTTTTGGGTTTGGGGGTTTTTTGTTTGTTTTTAAATTCTGTGCAAGACCTATATCTGGATGCATATAACCTTTATAAAAGTACTCAAGTTTAAATGCATATAGAGTAGAATAAACCAGGATTTATACACTTATTTCTAATTAATGATAGAGATTACTCAGAGTCCAGATTTCCATGGCAGTTTGCTTTTGCTGTAGCTTCTGTGGAACGGGAAAGCGTAAGAATGTTCCTATGAATTGTTTTTCCTACAAAGCAGATGTGGGATCTGACAGTTTACCCTTATTTACAGAGGATCAGCAGATTCTTGATTCTGTTTCCTTACATTAGAGGAAAGAGACCCTTGCTTACCTTGACTCCCATGAGAGACCTTGGTTAGAAGAGAGTGCTAAGCATTTGCATTCACCCACTGTTGTTTCAAGAAGAGGGGAATTTGGATTCTCTTGAAGAAATCCTGTCTCTTACAAGAGGGATACTGTAAAGTCTCATTTGGAGCTCTTCTTACTAAGGAGTGACAAGAGAGGTCTAAGTTCTGGCTCTTGGGTGATCTATAATGCCTTCCATGACAGCAGTTAAGACGCTTCTTCAAGTGTCTTACTGTTTAGTATGTTTGAGCAGAAATTCAACAATGTTGCTCTGACAGAGACTTCCTTCTATTCAGTAATCCTGTAAGAAGAGAGTAGGGGTTGGAATATAATTTAGTTACCTAAAAATGTCAAGTTAGAATTAGGAAATTCCAAATTCCACTATGGAGGATTGAAGCTTCCCTCCCTCCCCCCATCAACCTTGAAGAAGTGATTAACTGAGGCTGCCTTGGAGACTGCTTGCTGCTATTGTCTCCTGCAGAAACAACACTTTGCTGCTAACTGGTTTAACTGTATCATGTCCTTGAATGTGTTTTCCTCTAAGCACCTTCCAGTATTTGAGAACTATTCCATAGCGTATATAAAAACAAAATACAAAAATGTGACAATAGTACTATTTTTCTGACCAGTTTTTGTTCTTCCCATCTGTCAGAGGTTTGGTTTTTATTTTTTCCCTTAGTGCTACTGCAGCAAAAATGCCTGCCTTTTGTTTATGTCTTCCTGCTCTGGCATCGTGACATCATCAGTGATATCGCCAGGGGAAAAAAAATGCATAGCTTTAGCTAAACCAGCTGTTCGTTAGCAACCCATCTAGTCTGCTTTCGTTTCTTCTCATTAATGTACACAAGTAGTGTTTGCTGCTTAAGAGACATAGAAGATTCTCAGCCATGAACAATCTGCTTGGTCCGTGTCGTTGGGTAGATGAAAATGGTGACACTTTAAAATACACTCACTCTTGATAATGGAATTTTTTATTAAAAAACATGAATGCGAGAGTCTAGAAGATATTCATTACTGGATTTAGTTGTGGGTAATTCTGAATCCTTTACTAACCATCTCGTATAATTCAGTGTAATCACAGAGACTGCGCATCAACTGTTACAAAACCTTAATAATACAAGATGAGCAAGATGCCAAGAACAATAAAGAAATGAGTTTTGTCATTGATTTGCATGACGACACGGTAAGGCGAATGAAACTGTATTAGTCATGCTTGTCCCTTCTTCCATGCAAATCAGTAGCAAAACTTCCACTCACTTCCATAGGACCAGAATAATGCCAACCATGAGCTACGAGCTGTCATTTATTCTAATGAGAGAGATCTTAAATAGAATAAGGAGGTATTTCATTTGTGGAATGTTAATGAGAAAGCGGTTTCTTCTTCCCATCTTATGTTATCAAAATCCTATGAATTATTCTAGAGATAATTGACTTATAGAATAGCTGCATCTTTGCAATGTTAAAATTATGGATAATTGCGTGTTCACTACCAGTTTTCAGGGTGGAGAAGAGATGTTCATTTATTGTCACTAGCTGTTTGTTGAGAGCTTTAAATTAGAATATTCGGCGAATTCACTCTGCAGAAGGAGTTAAGCTATCTCCAAATATTCCAACATGGATCCTTCATGCTGATAATGCATTAGTGAAAAAAGATCAGCAATATTTACCATTTTCTATAAAGGTTTTTGTAATTTGAATGTAGATATTTACTTATTCTAGTGTGAAATGCTTAGGTAAATATTAAGTTTTTAACCAATATAAAACGTTATTCAGATTTATATTTTTGAAGAAATAAACAAGAATCCCCAACCAACCAAACACGTGCACATGAAAAAACCCTGCCCTGAGTATCACCAACTATTACCAAGAAGAGATTAGACTTCATTGTATTACATAATTTGTCATTTGGGTTTGAGACTAATCCTCACTCAAATGGCCAATTCTTATTCACCTGAGTAGTCTCACTGAAACCAGCAAAACTCATTTTACGACCAAAGATTACAGGATAATGCCCTTGACTGATGAGACAAATTCAAATCAAGGGGCTGCTTTTTAGGTACAATTTTTCATTTGGAAGCTCATCCTCTCCATAAAGGATAAACACTGGCAGATTAAGTGTTGGCAAAATATTACCTCTCCAGAATATTAATTTCAGTGTGTGCCGTGTGCGGAGCGATGCAGACAATGCATGGTTTGTGCCACTCCCCACAAGAAAAAATTACTTGTAATAGATCTCTTGAATTTCTACTTGGACCAGTGTTAAAAATGGGAGTGCTAATAATAATAATTGAAGAAAAAAAAAAAAAGTTGAGGGGATTTCCATAACAACTGCTATCTTAATGAGCTAAAGAAGCCCTAGAATTTGTTATTCCTTCCTCATAGTAGACCTCAGCTGATAAAAATATCTGTAGCCGGTGAAATCAGTGGCATGCCTGGCTTTCTCAGACAAAACTCCCATGTGATCACCCAGGCAGCCTCAGTGAGCCTGAAGCTGCTCAGCAAGCAGTAGGTAATGAGTCTTTGTGCAGAGCGAAGCTCTTGTGGCTGAACAATAAAGCATATGGTACCAGCAATAAAACACAGTGCTGGGAGATTTAAGAAGATTCTGCTGGAAGTAGGAAGACAGTGAATATGTCAAACGTTATAAAATGACGATCAATCTGGTTTGGTTCCTAATTAATAAAAACAGTGCATGGATTGGAAAAACAACAATTTGAACAGGTCAGTTTTTTTAATAGATTCTTCACACACTTCAATATTTTAAATATAAGTGGGGGGGGGTTGCTATTTCCTTTTTATTAGTAAAGCCAGGGGTTTTTGCATTTTGTAAGGTGGGATTGGAAGGATTCACATCAATGTGATACCAGGCTAAATAAATTGTGTAAGTTCTGTGATCAAACTCATTGTAAAAATGTTTCTACCATTATTCCTATGCAATTCAAACTTCAATTGTGCATGAAAAATGAGGTAGCAAGTAAAATTAAATTTATGCTAGATGGATCATTTACCAATATCATAAAATATTTAGTAACAACAATCTATTATTCTGCTATGTATTCGAGACTAATTCTTTCTCAGTAGGAGATCTGTAGCGTCTATGTTTGGTTAAAAATAATGTAACATTAGAGCATATCTAACAATGCACTTATGGTTTTTTTCCTACACATTCTTCTGGGATAATTTTGAAAGTAGTGTTTTGTCTTATTTTTGATGCAATTATATACACATGGGAGTAATAAATTATAACCCTCTGCCTGCATTTCACTCTAATATTAATGCAATATATGTTATTTTTCAAGCAAGTATTTGTTTCTCATAGTAGTTCTTAGTTAATTATACATAATTATTTTATTTTTTTTGAAAACTGCTTCTAAAGATTTCTGTGGCCTGTGTTTGTCTTACGGAGGATAGACGTGCAATTTTTCTGTTGTATCACATCACGTAGAAATTAACCACGTAAAAGTTTTAATCCTGAAATCTCTTTGCAGTACTGGTTTGTTTGTTTGTTTGTTTTCTTAATACTGGAGATCGTGAATTAGATACGTTGGCAATGCCTCAAAGAAATAGATTGTGCTGATTTGGGGGGAGTATTTCAGCAGAAAGGAGATGGAGCCCTTGAAAAGCAGTTGGGGAAATAAAGAAACAAAACCCGAAACGTTGAGAACAGGATCTTCTTTTATGTGCACTTATGCTTTCAGTGGGGAAATGTTCTTTATAAGCACCACGTTAATTTCGCTGCCGTCTCCCTGCGGGGAAGGCAGGGCCCGGCGCTGCCGGGGCTGCGGGCGGAGAGATGCCCTCGCCTTGTGTTCGTACCGCTTCGCTATTGTGTGCGCGCTGAAACGAGCCGTGCACAACCCGACCCTCGCCTCCCCCGAGCTCCCTGCCCCTGTAAATGAGGAGCGGAAAAAGGGAAAAGGAAGCCCGGGCTCTGGCCGCAGAGCCGGGGGAGGGGGAGGGGGTCTCGTTGGAAACCGCCGCGGTGGGCGGGCGGGCTCTCGCCCGGGTCGGGGCGGGGGGCGCGGGCGCTGCCGCTCCTCTCTGGGCCCGGCTCCGGCCGCGGCGGCGGCGCCGGCAGGGCCCGGGCCGAGGGGGCGGGGAAGGCGGCCGGCGGTGCCCGGCGCGGTGTGCCCGGCCGGCCGTGCCCGGCGTGCCCCGCGGCGGGGCCGGGCCATGCAGATGAGGGGGCGGTGCGGGCGCTCGGCGGGGCAGCGGCCGGGGCAGGTACGGGCGCTTTGTGGCGCAGGCGGGCGCGGGGCGCGCGGTGCGGGCGTGCCGCGCGGGCGGGGCGGGACCTGCCCGCGCGTGACGGGACACGGCGCTGGAGCTGCCGCGGCAGTGCAGCCCACGCACCCTCGGATTCGGAATCCATTGTGCATAATTTTACAGTTGTAAATATTGCTGAGACCTAATTTAAATTGCTTTGCGATCCCTGTTTTAAAACAGTTCTCCTGTGAAAGGTAATTCTTCATTGAAAACCAGATGCGGCTTGGCGTCTCAGGAAACAGGCCTGTTCGTGTTTTAGACAATAGATCAGAAAGGATATGTAAAAGTACTTTTTCATCATACTTAGGTGCAACGATTAATTTGTTTCAGAGGGAACTCTGCTAAAATCACAGTAACGCTGCGATTTGTACCATGAGATTGGATGAGGTACACTGAATGTGTCACTCTATACTAATTTAAATGTAGAAAATATAACAATATGTAGTCACAGAATTATCCTATAATTACTATATTTCGCTAAAATGAGTTAAGTGGATTTTAAATTTGAATTTATGAGGCAGTTAGGTACTTAAAGTGAGTACATACAGAGATAAAGTTAAGAGTGTGCTGTAAACTAACAATAGGAACATTGCAACAGAAGAGCATTCCCACTGTTACAATGGAATCACAACTTTGAAATGCACCTGTCTTGTTTGTTTATGCAGGCAGAAAACAAAAAAAAGTTTTTCCTGTGGATCAGACATTTCATGTTCTAAAGCACTCCCAATATTAAGTTATTTAAGAAAGTTTAAGGAAAAAATCCTGAAGCAAAAAGGTGTTTTGTGTTGCTGCCAGGTTATGGTAATTTTGAGATACACTTTTCCTCCACCTATATGCAAACTAAGGTGTATGTTTGTGTAAACGTTTTGTGCTGTAATGGGAATGGTGGCTATTGAGCTCCTTTAAGAATCATAACTAGAACCAAATGTTTCTGTAAGTGTCTGGCATTTTGGAGACAGAGACATGATTATGATCTCCCATATTCCTGAAGTGTAGTGTTATTTTTACTACTCTTAATTTACTTCTAGATCCGAGGAGCCGAAGTCTGGTGTGTAATATTTTGGTTTGAGAATGTGCAATGTTTACTGTATATGTTAGATTTTTGGTCTTATTTGTTTATGGGAGAGGCATTTGCATTTGTTGAAAAACTTGTTACTTTGGACAGATGCAATAGTTGACTAAAGTTTAAGTTCAGTATTAATTGAAGACATGTTAGTCATGGTTTAGAGTACACAACGGCAAATGTTGGGAAATTCATTCCAAAGCTTAAATATTTTCTCTGAGATAGCAACAGATGATTGTGTCATCTAAAACTCTTACTTGCTCTAAAGGGTACTTGTAACTGAACCTTGAATTTGAGAGTTGTTTTCCCTTTGAATAAGCAGGTGGAAGGTCAGGCTGAAGCAAGGCAGGTATAATCTATTGTAAGATTGGCAAAGCTGTCTGAAAGATAAATTTACATGTAGTCTGTCAATCTCTCTCTTTGTCCTTGCTTTGAGCCAGTTATGAAGCTGAGAAAAACTGGATTATAGATGTGCCATTCCCACAGTAAAATATCACCAAATACCATCACATCCTTAAAATGTTGATGCCATTCCAAGTCCTACCAGTGAGTTTTGATCACTGTTGCTTCATTTCTCTTTTGTAGGTTTTTTTCACCGTGAAAAAGGGACTGAATATAGATAAAAGACTGATATGACTCATCTACAAATGCACACAAGCCAAAAATATTCATTTGGTTAAAACAGCTCTAAGATAAATAGCATGGCTTTAATTTTCCATCTCTCCTAGATATGGATACAGTATGGAACTTGTGATAAATGGGAGATGTGAGTAATTGACTAAGAAGAAATCAACTGAAAAATTGTGGTCTTCTTCTTCCTTCACATTTGCATGTAATGATGTCCAATGGCTCCCTTTCCCATAGTCTTATTCCCCATCCTACAAAAAGGTTTGCATTTCTATCACCTCTGCTTCAGTTTTCCATCACTCTAATATCATTTTTCCACAACAAAATAGGGAAAACGGGAAAAGGAACAAAAATGTGTGTCACCATGACAATTTAACAGAAAATCCACTTAATATATAAGTAGACAACTTACATGTTGTGAAGTTAGGGATAAAAGGGAGAAGAGCTGCTTGAACTTTTCAGGTTCTTCTATGTTTAAGTGCAAAAATAAAAGCAAGGATACTTCTTAAAACTTAACATCAAAATGCGTCGGACCATTTGTGTTTAGGCTTTCTGATTAACAGATAGATACCTTTTGGTTATTACTTCATAAATAATTTCATGGAATATTTAACTTGAAGTCCTGGTTCATTTTGGGATTGGTTTGTATCCTGCTCTTTCATAAGCAGTATGGATTTGCGTATTTATTTTATTGTCAGGTGAGAAGTAGGAAATGAGGGCTACATAGTATGGAGCCTGAACCTCATCAGTTGTTCTAAGGGATATGGGCAGGAACTACATAATTAACCAATTGTAGCTTCACCATCTCATGTAGTTCTTGAATTTTGATGAGGAAATGCAGCCAAGTGATACCATTATGTAGGGTAAGGCTGCAGAGTAAATAAGCATCTGTCATAATTGTAGCTCTCATTAGTATGCTTCAATACAATTTATGTATTTAATTCTGGTAAATCATTTCTTTGTATGCCTATAAGTCATGTTTTTCATCTGTGCTGCAGACAGGGGTAGATGGGTCTGTGTTGGGTCCGTGCTGTGGCAGCAGTTCTGGTGTTGGTACCTCAGGCCCAGGCCCATACCCTGTGTGAGGGGGCAGGAGCTGCTGAGGTGACTCCGCAGATGCCGTCCCACTACCACAGGATCTGTGGAAGGGCTGATAGACCAGCTCCAGGCCCTGCAGTTCCCTACTGGGCATCTCAGCTGGGTGAAGGCAGCTTTCATTTCGAACACATCTCTCCTTGGGCTGCCTGAAAGTGGGGGCCAGGGCTCCTCCAGTGTCTGTGGGCATCTCCCACCTGAGGAGCGTCCTTCTGGGAGGATGAAACAGGCTGACACTGCAATGGCTTCAGGAGGAGGTTGGGGTTTTTTTGAATAGGGATCTGAGTTTGATAATGAACTTCTCAGCGATTTAAAATCTGTTCTTTGTTATAATTGAACAAAGTCTGCTTTTAATGTATCATGAATATGTTAAAAAAAGAAGCTGGATTTCACATTTTTTGTTGTATTTTCTAATTGATAGCAATCTCTAGTAAATGCTATTTGTGTGTGGGTAAAAGGGTAAACAAAAAAATGTTGAATGCCACAAAATGTGTTTTTTAATTGTGTTTAGTGTGCTTACTTCAAATATGAACTGTGACAGCTGAGCAGACTATTCTCAAGCAGACATTTTTGTCTTTCAAGTATTCTATTATGGGAACGGGAGGGAAACCCCATGACTCCGGAGGGACTTGGAGTCCTTACAGGGCTGCCATTGTTTTGCTCTCTTACA